CACAGACCATGTCAGTAAGCTACAGCAGCCTCTGGGTTTTCAAGACTGTGGGGGCCCATAGAGGTGAAACTCAATGTAAGAAACCAGCAAATATAAAAATACTACAAAAGCACATAAAACACAGCAAAATTTGAAGAAAACAATGGAAGTAGAAAAAAAAACAAATGTCACAGAAGACAACTGCCATGTTTTTGGGGACGTGACGGACCACCTGGGAAAGTGACACAAGCCATATGAGGGATCCCACTGTGCTTTAACTACCTGATTCATATATGACTGTAGATATATGTTTGCTATGAGCTGTTTGCTGTCAGCTTGCCACATCTGCAGCTGTTCCATCACCTCAAAAACACTTTGTTGTGTGGGGTGTTTTGTGAGAGCTTTTGCAGCATTTTTCTTCTTCTGCATTTGCTGCAGTGCCTTTCCCCTCTCTACACTCCCTGAACATTTTGAACCGAGCTGCAGCGTGATGCAAAATCATTTGCTTCTTAAAGCACATGTGATTTTTCCATTGCTACTGGAGTGCTATTGAAAAGAGGTAGCATGTAGCAGCACTGCTCTTTCACATCACTGCCCCCTGCTGCAAGGATTCCATAATAACATAGATGAAGACTGTGGATGCCAGTGAGTTTGTGGGTCTTTCCCACAGTGCAATCTGAAGCTCTGTGACTGTTTATCCATCACACATCAGAATTTACAGCCTGGAGTTATCGTTGTAGTGCACCGTAATATTTGCACAACTCACATCAAGACAAGAGCGCCTAGGAACCTAATACGGGAAGACCAAGACACATTTTAATCTCAGCTGTCTGTCCGTGACTGCCAAGTCTGCTCATGAATGAAAGATGTCTCTCCATGGGGAGCCAAGAGATGTCACACTGAGGGTAATAAGGTGTCTCTAGGTAACACTGATAAGATGTCTCTTGTGGGCCGACAGGGGAGTGTGTGTGTGTGTGTGTGTGTGTGGTGTTGCTGTTCAGTGGAGCGTAGAGCAGGGAGAGCTGCAGAGACGGCTCTGGGAAGCACCGAGCTGATCAAAGCCATCTGACTTCTTCACACAGCGGATGTGAATCATGTTCAGTTAAACAAGCTCACAGCTAACAAGGCCCTTCTGTGCAGAACGCTGCGCTGTAAGCACATCGATGTATAACGTTTCACAGCCTGAGAGGATCTGGACAGAAACCGTATACACAGATATAGGCCAATGCAGCTGGAGACTGCTAATTTTATTGGACCTGTTTACAAAGACAGCTCAAATATGGAAACTTATAATACCAGATGTTCTAATGAGCCTTAACCTCTGAATACTTTGATGTAGTAAAAACCTGACTCTGAGCTAAAAGCGTAAAACTTTAGCAGAGGAGAAAATATAAATTTGACTCACGTGTTTGACACTTTCTTGTAGTGTTGAGGGCAATCAAAGGAGAGACACCTGAAGCCTCCCTGAAGGTTGTAGCAGGTCTGCCCAGTGGAGCAGTTGTGGGTGCCAGCTGTGCACTCATCAATATCTGGAAAAAGAGCCAATAATAAATCTAATAAACATCATTATTTTGATATGATAGGCTTTAGTGACCCAACCTGAATGATGCAGTGCCGTGCAGTGGTCAGTGGTTGTGGTTACCTCTGATGAACATGTCCAAGAATCCTCAATAGGAGACAGACACAGTCTAAATGCAACGTGTCTGGATACACTCATTGTTCAGAATGACCTGCACTACTCTGAAACTGTGTGGGTGTCCTACTGGAACAGCCGCATGGCTGGGTGTTGGTACCAGTGCAGGCTGGAGCACCCCGTCCAGTCCCATTACCACCAAAAATGATCACAGTTGCAAATCTGCATCAACAGCCCAACCTCAGTCAACTTCAGTCAGTTGCAGCACGGTGATGTTGATGTTAGACTACAATGACTAAAACCAATCATAGAATAGATTTGGTTTTTCTACACAATGAAAACAATGCAGTGAGAAATGCATCTGATCAGCAGAGACTAAACATGTTTATGACATAAAACAGTGTTGTTATCTGTCATTGATGATGATTGGGATGCAAATACAGGCATCCCTGTATTTGCAGCCCCTTGGCACTGTGTATGTAATCATAAAGTGGGAAAACTTTGAGTTTGGTTTGCTGTCAAAATTCCACAAGAGTAACAAAAATTCCATTAACTTGGCAAGAAAGCAAATTTCCATAAATGTCTAACACCAAATTGAACCATTGTTACACATGTCAAACAATATCAGTTAATAAGGGCTAAAAAAAAGTTACACAGTAGTGCAGTTTGAATTTAAGGATTAATAAGTTAAGTGAAAATTAGGGAAGAAAAGGGAGAAACTCATTAAACCCATTGGTATGCATAGGTAGAGCAGTAAATGTTCTCTCCCAGATTCAGATTTAGTGTGCTGCTGTTTGCGTAGGGCAGCGCGGTGGCGCGGTGGTTAGCACTGAGAAGAGTTTGACCAACTAGCCGGGCCTTTCTGGAGCTTGCACGTTCTCCCCGTGTTGGCGTGGGTTCTCTTCAGGTACTCCAGCTTCCTCCCACAGTCCAAAGACATGCAGTTAGTGGGATTAAGTTGATTGGAAACTCATAGGTGTGAATGGTTGGCAATTTCTATGTGTTAGCCCTGCAACAGACAGGTGACCTGTCCAGGGTGTACCCTAGCTCTCGCACTGTGGGTAAGTAGAAGAGAATGGATGGATGGATGCTGCAATTTGCTCAATCTATTCTTTAACAGCCTGTCACACTACGTGTACCCACTGCATTTCTATTAATGTAATAGTTACTACATGCATATAACAGCACTGACAGAAAGGTTTTCAATGCTCCAGTCAAACAGTACAAAAATGTAACCTGCATCAAGTCCAAGAAGACAATTACTGTATATATCAGCCTCACCTTTGCAGGTGCGTCCGTTGGCAGCCATGACATATCCATGAGGTGGACAGGCACACTGATAGCTGCCTGCAGTGTTAACACACTGGAAGGCACAGAGGTTCCCGATGCTCTGGGAGCACTCGTCAATATCTGTTTAAAACACACACACGCACATCTCGTCACTGCGATTAAACTGTGAGGAAAGAAAGGTTCAAAAGCAGTCGGGCTTTTCAGCTTTATCTCGAGCATTGTGTGTGTATCTTATTAGGGCTGGGTTTCGTCACTGATTTCTAGAATCGATTCAATTCCGATTCACAAGGT